AGGACTTCATACTTTTATTTGTCTTCTCTCCTCTTCTGGGCCTGTACCTCCAAGGATGGTTTTCTCCCATTGACTGCCCTACCCCCAGTCTTTCTCATGAATGCCCAGTGGAAGTCTGTGTAGAAGAACCTGCGAGTGGGTGCAAGCTCCCCTTGTATCTGTGGCTCCCCGGGGCTCTGCACTCTTAGCCTAGTCCACACTTGGCCTGCAACCATTTGTTAAAACTTGTATGGCACTTGATATTTCTTCTCATGCTTTGCCACAGGTGATGCTCACTTCCTGTTTTCCTTGCAAGTGTCTGTCTTTCCTTAGATTTCAGGCTAGTTGGTTGCCCTGTGACCCCAGCTTTCTGATTTAAGAAAAGTTACGATTCTTTTAGAGTGTCGTTCTTTTTCTTATTAGGATAGGATTAACACTTTCCCCAACTTTCTCTGCTCTAGGCAGAAGTTCCAAGTCAACAACTTTTCACTTTTGCCAAATATTAATATAACATCTTACTATTAAACCAAAAGAAAGGTGACTCTCAAGAGATGAATCTATTTAACTTTGTGGAAATCTCACTTAGGGTCTACAGTTGTCCTTTCACTCTTCACGCCACCCTGGTGTGGGACTTACCTGCATCTTGATGAAAAATTAAGATCATAGTCAACCTAGAGATGAGAAGTCAACCCAGATGAGTTGATATCTTGTCACAGGAAGACCTACAAGCTGTTCTGTTTTATTTTGTTGTTCAACTTTATTTTTTGTAGAGATGGGGTTGGTGGTAGGGGTCTCACTATATTGCTAAAGCTGGTCAAAGCCTTAGTTTTGGCCTCAAGCAATACTCCCAGCCTCCCAAAATGCTGGGATTACAGGCATGAGCCACCACGCCCAGCTTGTTTTGTTTTTTAATGAAGTTTTATGGTTTGGTTCCTCACTGTCTGGGTGGCTGTGCATCAACCACAGATATTCATGCAATTCCCGCTGTGTGAAGTGCAGAGCTCTGGCAGCAAAGGAAACAGCAACTGAGACAGACAACACCATTCACTTTCCTTGAGAGCCCAGGGTCCCACACCAGGGTGGCGTGAGGAGTGAAAGGACAACTGTAGACCCTAAGTGAGATTTCCACAAAGTTAAATAGATTCATCTCTTGAGAGTCACCTTTCTTTTGGTTTAATAGTAAGATGTTATATTAATATTTGGCAAAAGTGAAAAGTTGTTGACTTGGTATAGATCTATACGTGTGTTTGTATGGGTTAGTCTTTGTTGTGATTTTACTCATAATGTGCTTAACTGAGAACTACCAGGCAAAGGCCCCAGGACCCTTTGATGTTGAACAGGCAAAACAGTGATGTGATTTTTGCTTTTAAATGCTGCTCAGGTTATTCTACCACTGTCATTACTCACAGCCCCAGGACAGAGGCTCTTCCTACTTCTGGGCCTGGTGTTCTTATTTCTGCTTTCTCCTTATTTGCCAAGCTCTCGGGGAAATGCCACAGCTGGAGTGCTGAGTGCAGGTGAGTGGCCTCAGTGCCATGGGGACAAGGCTTCTGGCCCTTTGCTGCAGTGCAGACTTGGGAAGGATTCATTACATGGAATTTCACTGTGGTAGGTGCAGCTTTTTGAGGCATAGAGTGTTTGTAGAGGAACTGCTCTGTGTTCAGCTCTGTGCTGGGCAGGCATTCCAGGTTGGGGAGTGATGCAAAAAGCATTAGACACAGAATCTGAGGTCTGCATAAGGATGCAGGAGAGGAGCTGTGCTTATGGAAACCCAGCTATGCCAATGCTACCTGTCAGAGGCTGCCTGGTATCTGGGAATAGTCTGCACTTTGGGTTCAGATTCCAAATCTATCATTTGCTGGGTGACTCAGAGAAAGTTACTTAACCTCTATGAGCTGAGGTTTCTAAATCTGAAAAATAAGGTTAATACCCGTGGTGAAGGGCCATCATAAAGATTAAATGAGGTGACATGTATTAAGTGAGGTGACATTAAATGAGGGCACACAGTAGGGAGCAAGTAAACAATAGTGATTGCTGGACTGGTGGAGTGTTAAAGGCTGTGATGTCTTCTGATGAGAGTGAGCAAGGGGCAGAGAAATGGCTCCAGACAGCCTAGGGAGTTTGAGGCTGGGAATCTTTGGGTAGCCATTTTCTGTCTGAGCCTCAGTTTCCTTTGTTGTAAAATGGAGTCAGCCCACTAAAAGCATGGTGTAGAGGGGAAAACATGGTGTTTCCTACAACCCTCTCTTTCTAAAGGCCACTGCTCCAGCTCAGAGCACTGTGGCTGCTGTCCTTAGTACTCCCTAGAACTAGTTCAGCTTTGGCTCAAAAGGAGGGTTTCTGTTGCTAAAGTCAGTGGTACTCACCCTGCCTTCCCCATCCACTGTGTTTCCAGAGGTGGAGCTTAACACTGTCAGTTTCTGGGCCGTTCTGCAGAAACACTCAGACTTTCCATTCCCTCCTTCCTGGGCAGCACCAGTCTGGCCCATTGCATGACAGTGCTGGCTGTCAGGACAGAAGGGCTGCCTGCTTGCACCCTCCCTCCAGTGGAAGAGTGTGTGTGTCTGGAAGGATGGTTCTCTGGAAGGAGCGGGCACAGGACTGTGAATATTTCTCAAGAAAGGTCTGCTGGTGACTTCAGATAAGCGCCTCTCACAGCCCAGCCCTTTGAAGGACTGGCCCAGTCGTCACCCCCATTTTATAGATGAGGAAGTGGAGACCCAGAGATGTTAAGCCTCTTGTCTGCTGCCACCCAGGTGGTCAGTGGTGGGGCTTGGGTTTCAGCTGAGGCCTCAGTCACCATTCTTCCCTGCTGTACTATGCTGCGTCTCGCATCAGAACTGCATGGGTCTGGAGGCCACTGTGGTGGGCTGAAAGCTGTCTTGGCAAGGCTGGTGGGCTTCTGAAATGTTTCCTGTCAGAAACATTTCAGTGGACTTCTGGGTGGGCATTGAGATCTGAAGTGCACTGATTCCTGGAGGACTGGAAGAGCATCACCCAGCCCTGCTGGCCAAGGTCTTATACAATGGCTGCAAGCACAGCAGACATGCCAACGATGGGCTTGTGGACCGGGCATTGCCCCTGTTCTCAAGCACATCGCTCTGGCTCGTGTCTCATATTCAAGTTCTCTAGCCACTGGGCCTGCATTTTTGCAGGTTCAAATCAACATGCCCTTAAGAGTTTGTGATTTATGAGATTAGATTCTATGGGATTTCCTAATAAAGAAAAATATCCAGGTAGGGTCCATGTCCTAAATTCCTTTACTGGTTGGGAATCCTCTCCTGAGCTGATTCTTTTCAAGGACTCTGATGCCCACCAAGGTGAGCATGTCTAGGGCAGAGCATCTTCCCAAGACTGCGTCACTATTGGTTAGTCCAAGAGGTGAGTCTCAGGAGATGCCACCAGCTGTTGATGGTGGGTCTGCAGGCAGTCTAGTGTTGTCAGGGCTGGGTGGTGGTGGGGTGCATAGACATCCTAGATGAGCCCCAGCCATAGCCAGTATACTCCACTGGCTGTGGCACTGGGGTTGGGAGACTACCCAGTGGAGTACCCATGACTCCATGGTATATGGTGAGCTTTGAGTGCACTGGTGTCCTGGGTTTTGGGGTAGAGGAGTGAGGAGTGCGAGCAAGAGAAGGAACAAGGCTCAGACACAGTGGCAGCTGGTGGGCTCTGTGGGCAGGCTGGCATTGGTCATCCCAGTCAGGTGTCTCAGCCTGGCCCTAGAGATGCAGTGGCTGGAGGAACAGGGCAGGGATGAGGCAGATGTAGGCATGCAGGAGCACAGAAGAGCTCCTGATTAGGAGGGGGCCTTGCAAGGTGGGGGGATGGGGTGTTAGAGTGGGGAGGGGAGGGGTGATAAGGGCATCCCCAGTAGAGAGGACCATGTGAGCTGGGCTCAAGGAAGGAGAGGAGTTCAGGAATAAGGCAGGCTGGATTGGAGTGCCTTGCCAAGGGGTTTGGATTTTCTCCCAAAGGTGGCAGAAAGCCCTGGAGGACTAGGGAAGCTGGAGAGTGACGTGGTAACATTTGGAATGTCCATTAGTGAGGTAGTGGTTTAAAACCCTGATCCCCCAGTGTGGCTACACTTATGGGTTGCTGAGGTTTGGGGCTGGCTGAGAGTATGGGCCATCACTGAGCACCACATTCCCACTGGGAAGAAGTCCACAGGAGAATTGCAGGCTCTAAGACCAGAATTGGGGCATCTGCTAGCCCTGCCTTTGGGTACCCCTGGCTCCAGCATCCCGGCCTCCTGAACACTTGCAGGATGCTTCCTAAGTCAGGAGAAGCCTTTGTCTTTGTATAGAGCAGGAGGCTGACTTTTCTGAATTTGGGGACTGAAGAGCCTTAGGCAGAAACACCCACACTCCTCATTCCTAGAGTCCTCTCTGAAGCAGCCGAGGTGCCTGTCTTGTGAATGCTGACTCCTGCCAGTCTTCTGACTATGACATTCACATAGACATCTTTATTTTCTCAGGGGATCTCTCACCACTGCCACCCCCACACCAGTTCTGGGCCATAGCTCCTGGGGCCTTGGGAAGGCATTAGTGAAGACTGGGACATCTCATGTGGGAGGGTGGGGAATTGGAGTTGAGCTGACCAGGAGAAGGAGTGACTTCTGAGCCAGGCCAGGCTTCAATGTCTCTGGCCTCACCAGGGTGCCTGCTGGTGGGTGCAAGCTGCATGAAGAGATGGGAGATAGGTCAGCCTCCCTGAGGGCCTCTGAGAGTAGGCTGAGGGCGCTCACAGCCCACCTGCTTGTCCTCTGCAGGCCCCTTCCTGCCTTGGACCTCCAGGTACTCTGATTCTGCTCCTTGCTCGTGGCCTCTGCTCGGAAAGGTGGGTGTGTGCACCTGGATGTGGCAACACCGCCACACTGCCATTTTTCACGGCACTTGGAACTCATTTCTGAAGTTCGCTGGTGGTTTTCCCTTTAATCATTTGAAGGGGCTAGTTCTCTCTCAGTCTTTCCTAAAACACTGAGTAGACTGAGGGACTCTTTTCTTTCCATCTTTACCTAGCCAGCAGTGGATTTCCCCATCCCACCAGGCAGAGGCAAGAGTCTGGAGTCTGTGCAAAGCCAGCCCCCGGAGCCCACCAGCATGCCCCAGACGCTGACCAGCACCCTGGAGCACATTGTGGGCCAGCTGGACGTCCTCACCCAGGTAGGCCGTGCTGTTAGTTCACCCAGTCACATGCATTTGATCTGGCATTTGGATGATTTGAAGTTGGCCAGCAAGTGCTGCATTTTTTAAAAACATAATCATAATGGACCTATTTTCCAGGCCACATTAATGAAATAACAGTGCTTGCCCCAGGATCCTGGTTCTCAGAGCCATCTAAGCTCTGGCCGGGCTACTAAACTCCAAAATCACCAATACTGGGTCCTTCCAGAGTGTTCCTACTCAGAGCTGGCCTGGGCCAAGCAGACTTTGAAAGAAATGTTGTGTGTGTCCATTCATCCCCCTTCTTGCTAGGTGGGCACTCCAGGGACCTGTCAGGGAACTGTGAGCAGTGAGTCCAGGCTTCCGAGAGCCTAAGCTCTGAGTTTGAGTATGGTCCCTTTCTAATCCTCTAAACAACGTTGGGGAAATCCTTTCAGTTCTCCAAGCTCTGGTGTATTTATCTGTAACATGAGGGTGGTCATGGTGAGGGCTGAGGGAGATGAATCTGTAGGAAGTGTTAGGCCCATGCCTGTCTCAGGTAGCTGCCCAATAAATGTTAGTTGTGGCCCAGACCAAGCTCATCAGTGAGACAGGTGTGGCCCTGCCCTTTAGATTTTAGGTTGGTAGCTTGTATCACAGACTCATAGTGCAACAGTTTCAGTAAATGCAAAATGCCCTGACAAGAGGTGGCGGCAAGCACTGGGGGCATGCCCACAGCGGGTATCTCACCCTAGAGAGGGAGAATGGTCCTGGCAGAGGGAGCCATGGGCACATCGAGGGAACTAGAGAAGTGCAGGGTGGCTGGCATGTGGCAGGTAGGTGGTGGGGTTGAGGGCAGGGCAGGGTTTAAAGGTCCTCTAATTCCTTGGCTCTTGATGCCAGGCTGGGACTCTGCAGATCCCCCTCTCCCACGCCAGCACGTGGGTAAAGCGAGGCTGCAGGAGGGACATACATGGTCCATGAGGAAAAGAGAGAGGTGTGGGTAGTGGGCAGCAGGACAGGTGGTCTCCAATTCAGCCCACATGAAGGACGCAAAGGACCCTTGTTGTCTCTAAGGGAGATGGAGCTGAGGTGGTGTGGCATCCTTTCCCCACCTCAGGATCATGGGCTAAGTGAAGAAAGTTCTGTTTTGTCTCACGTCGTCCATGGCATGTCACAGGCACCCAGCTGGGACAGTGTACCTTGGGCCCATGAAGGGAGCACACTTGAAGGGAGAGACTGGGTGTTATGGGGGGCTGTGAGGCTGCAGGGCACTATGTGCAGTCCTTGCTGAGAGCCTGCTAAACCTGAGAAGGCATGTGCTAAGGGAGATGTGTGCAGCATGCAAAGACTTAAAAAAAATACCTATTTCAAACCCGTCAGAAAGCGCCTAATGTTTTTCACAGCCTCGTCAAGTGGGAGATCAGGGGAGGTGGAATCAATTAGAACTTTATAGGATAAAATTGGAAATTGAGTCTGAGAAGATGGTTAAAAATAGCTTCATTGGATCCAGACGAATATAACACTAAAAACATTTCCTGTCACTGTTTTTTAGGGGTGCACATGGAAGGTTTTGTTATGTGGTAGCAGGAGTACGATAGTAACTTTACAAAAAGCTTACATCACAGAGAATAACTGAAGGTTGTCCTGTGGCCTATGGCTGGGTGTCTGGGGGTCCCTGTGGAATCCTGGTCCTACCTCACACCATTCAACCCCTTTGGAAATCAAAATGGCAGTCCATCTCCAACCGATTGCCAAGAATATCAGCCAGTCACCTGCTTTGCAAAACTGGCAAATGTCTGTGTGTTTCTGGATGCCACAGTGAGGAATGTTCTTGATGGACCCAATATGTTCTGAGGAAACTCAGATTCCACAGATGAAGACCCAGTTGAGGCCTTGAAGTTCATCCCATTTTCAGAACTGTACAAGGTACATGTGTGTTAATCCACCCATGTTCTCCTCAGTTGTTTTCCAGGCCCACTCTTCTCTCCTGGAGTTGGGGCTCTACATGGGGTGTTCCAGCCACAGCCAGAGCTATTGGAAGTTTCCCTATTTCCTCTTTGGGTTCAGCCCAGCAGAGGGCAGGCCCACCGCAGGCCCCTTTCTGGATGATCCAGACTGACCATTCCTCTCCTGAGGCCTACAGCCAGGTGGCCACCACCACCCCTCTTCCCAATGGCTTGCTCAGCCAGGCTCCCTATTTGGTCTGTGGGCATTGGCCTTGGCTGCCACCCCCTTGGTGGGCACTCCTCACCATCCATCCAGTTCTGAAGTGCCTCTGTGCTCTGGGTCTCAGCCACCCCAACCCTGACTCCTCCTTCAAAGTCGTCATCCATCTGAGTCATGCTCTTCTGCTCCATCCCATCCCCCTCATTACCCTTCCCTCCCACACAAGGAGGTCTACTTTAGAGCAGCCTCTGAGAGTGAAACTGCCTTGCGGGTCCTTTGGGCCTCTGTCCTACAGAGCATCCTTCCAGGGGAGAACCATGGGGCTGCCACAGGCAGTGGCCAGGGATGTTTTCTAAGTGAGTCACAGGACCTCCAGCCACTGTGTGACATTAGCAGGGCACCCCATTACGGAGGCTCACAGTCCTTAAAGCCTGCCTTCCTAGTCAGCAGGCTGATATGGCCCAGTGTAGTGAGGCCACCTCTGTAGATGTTTGTGTTCCGCATGGCACCAATCTATGGGCCAGGGACCCAATCGCAGTCCTCTGCAGGGTGAGCTCTCCAGTGGCACCTCTTTACAAAGGAAAGGCCTAGAAGCCAGGAAGCTGAGCAAACCTGTAGGGAGGAGTGACTCAGAGCTTTATCTGGCTTCACTACTGCCTAGCTTGGTGACTTTGAGCAAGTCACTTAACCTCTGTGCCTCACTTTCCAAGTGTGGAACCTAGAACTTCACAGTCCTCTTGGGAGGATTAAATGTGTCAGTTTGTGTGAGGCTCACTGAACAGTGCCTAGCAGTGCCATATGCTGTAGACATGTTAGATGCTGCTCCTGCTACTGTGGTTGTCATTATCCAAGGCAGGGTAGGGGCTGGGGGGCCTTCATGACAGCACCAGAAATAGCTACACCAAATCCCCACTGCTTTGTGAAGCTAGACCTGTCACTGCCCAGAAGAGCCATTCCTCAGCCCTCAGAGCTGAGGTGGCAGATTCCCTCCGTGCACACACATTCACTGAGGCTGTTCTATGTGCTGTGCCCTGTGTGAGACCCAGTCCCACCCTCAGGACTGATTCTGCTGACGTCAGTCAGCTTAGGGAGGAGCAGGCAGCCAGGGTCACAGGAGTGGAATGGAGTGTCAGATAGGAGCCCAGCACACCAGGTCAAAGAGGCCGTGGGTGTTCTGATGTGAGGTGACAGATGAAGAAACCCAGGAATTTGGGCTTTACCTGGTGGGACACTAAACAGAGCAAAGTCAAGGTCTGATCCATGCTGAGAGTCTGGGGTGGAGTGGTGATAGGGACACAGAAGCTGGGACTTGGGCAAGGGGCAGAGCTGTCATGCACTACCCCCTGGGAAGTGACTCCTGCAGCTGCCCAGGCTTGGGGTCAGGTTGGAGCCAGGTTTCACTGCAGGAAAAGGGATGATGAGATAAGCAGGACCATGGCTGGCCCCAGCAAGGTTCCTGGCCTTCTGAGCAAGCTAGCAAGTGGCATGGTGATTCCCCCCCTCAGTCCTCCCAGGCCAAGAGGCCTCTCCAAACTGCCCTTGGGGCTTATACAAAAACCCAATCCCTTAACTCCTCAATTGGGACTGTACTGTTTTACTTTTTTATGAATAGCTTTCTTATAAAATTCATACTTTTTTTTATTTTTTATTTTTGAGACAGAGTCTCATTCTGTTGCCCGGGCTAGAGTGCCGTGGCGTCAGCCTAGCTCACAGCAACCTCAAACTCCTGGGCTCAGGCGATCCTCCTGCCTCAGCCTCCCAAGTAGCTGGGAATACAGGCATGCGCCACCATGCCTGGCTAGTTTTTTCTATATATTTTTAGTTGTCCAATTAATTTCTTTCTATTTTTAGTAGAGACGGGGTCTCGTTCTTGCTCAAGCTGGTTTTGATCTCCTGACCTTGAGCAATCTTCCCACCTCAGCCTCCCAGAGTGCTAGGATTACAGGCATGAGCCACCATGCCCAGCCTAAAATGCATACTTTTTTTTCAAAAATATATTTATATGAGGAAAATAGACTGTGGGATAACCTTGCAAGGCACATGGCCCTTTGCCCTGTCTCCCACTTGCTGGTGCCCTCCCAGGCAGAAGCAGACTTCAAGCTGTCCTGGCCTGTCAGGTTTTCCGATATTGTTTTAGATGGAAAGTCCTCAGAGTGTGGGGATCACATCCTCATCGTAATTATCATCCTCCTGGTGTTTATCTGAGGCCTGCAACTTTCCAAGGGCTTGCCTTCACAGCCCTGGATTTATCCTACCACCTGTTACCTGGCAGCAGCGTCATGCCAGGTGCAGATAGGGCATTAATAATGGCTTGTTGTGCCTGGACCAGTCTCTGGGTCTGCCTAGCCTGAAGCTTCTCCAGGAAGCCAGGTGATCCTGATCTCAACCACTGTGGGTTAGAGCTTTTCCAGCTTCCCTTGCAAAATAGTTTAGGTAGAGTTAGGGATGGCTTCATCAAGAAGCCTGCAAACCAAACTTGACCTTCCTGAAAGGTAAGGCCAGAAGTTCTTGCTCCGGGCTCTGTGATCACAGAGCACAGCCGGCCAAGCGCCTTAGGTCACCAGCTAGTGAGCACACACACCCTTGCCTGGGCCTGCCCTTGTGTGGGAGAGATCCTTCCTTAACCCTACAAGAGGTTGCTGTTTGGGGCTTCCCTGGTTCCTTTGCTGAGCTTCTTGGGGCCCTGATCCCAGCTGATGCCATGCTTAGAGCACCTGGGATTTGTTCAGCAGTACACGTCCCCACCAGCTGTGGGAACCAGCAATGGTTCCCCCTTGGGTTTCAGGGCTGCTCTGCTCACCCAGTGAGCCACCTGCCCATCATCCTGGGCACATCTGCCCTCCTGGATTTGA